CACCTAAGCCAAACAGGAAAAACACACAAATACATAAGTTGACTCAGACCCGTTGAACAAATTGAACATAAAATCATGCACCATGAATCCCAAACACAATTCGCAAACGTGAACCAACAAATAGACTGAACAACAGAAAGCAAACCTGAAACGTATCATGAGGTGAAACCAAAGGCACAACAAGATAAACACTCACATGCAGGGCACAATAAACAAGTCGCTGACACCAAACAAGACAAAGCCTCGCAGGCGCGCTTTTTTGGCGAAGACATGGACGCAGAATAAATTCCCTCCCGCCTGTTTGAAGTGCAACCTCCAAGTGTCTGGAACACGATGGCCCAAACTGCTGGGCAGCCCTTTAAATTCATTGGGAAAGAACAGCTGACAATCATTTGCAACAACCCCTGCGAGCCAGTCTAGAAAACTGCCACTCCTGGCACGACCTCGAAAGTGAGCTGAATTCTGACACGGACTAGAACCTGCGGTCCCCTGGTGGTGTAATTTTGACCCACAGCCATATCTGGATCGTGGTGAATCCTTCCAAGGGTCGCAATCCTCATGGGATCCAGGACCGCAATAACCGCAAGTCGTGGGATCCGTAAATTTGGCAAATCCAACGCTTGACACGGGCACGAGCCATTGGTGGGCATGGGTGATTCGTGGGGATTCATGTCAGAGGACCTACATGCTGAGCTTGAATCAGGCGGACATAGGCAGCTGAGACGAAATGACATACCAACAAAAAGTAGGGATGAATTACTCGCTTTGCTTCGCTTGAGTGGACCCTCCCCACAAAAAGGTTTCTGGCATGCACCAACTTGAATTCGGCGCAGTTGTGTGGTCAAAACTCTGGTCATGGTTCCAACCTGATGAAATCCACTCACTTTGGTCCAATTGTAAGGGGTCCAACCCTACCAACCAAGTGACTTGACCGGGTGAAGACAATGCTCATTAGGCCACCAGCAACCAACCGAATAAGCAAACAATCAATCAATCAAGCAAGCAAGCAAGCAAGCAAGCAAGCAAGCAAGCAAGCAAGCAAGCAAGCAAGCAAGCAAACAACAAAAGCAAGCAAACAAACAAACAAACAGCGAAAGCAGGCAAACAAACCAAACAAAGCAACAAAAGCAATCCAATTGGGCAATGACCGCATCTTTTAAGCGTCACGGAGACTCTAGCTACAAACAAGCAAGAAATCAAGCAAACAACCCAAACAGCTCGGGGCCCCGGGCCGCTTCCCGGGATCCTGCGTTGTGGCCTCATCTTTGCATTCATGAGCCGAGGCTCTCCTCCCCTGCACACACCGCACATGCACAACAACAAACAAAACACACACACACGAACGCAGACAAACAAAAACAGACAAACAGACAAACAAACAAACAAACAAACAAACACACACACACACACAATTACACACAAACAGACACACACACAGACACACACACAAACACACACACACACACCCACACACACACACACCCACACGCACACGCACACGCACACGCACGCGCACACGCACACACACAGACACACACACACACACAATTACACACACACCCAATTACACACACACAATTACACACAAACACACAAACACACACCCACACACACACACACACCCACACACACACACACACACACACACACACACACACACACACACACACACACACACACACACACACACACACACACACACACACACACACACACACACACACACACACACACACACACACACGCACACACACACACACACGACACACACACACAACACACACACACACACACACACACACACACACACACACACACACACACACACACACACACACACACACACACACACACACACACACACACACACACACACACACACACACACACACACACACACACACACACACACACACACACACACACACACACACACACACACACACACACACACACACACACACACACACACACACACACACACACACACACACACACACACACACACACACACACACACACACACACACACACACACACACACACACACACACACACACACACACACCCACACCACACACACACACACCACACACACACACACACACACACGCACACGCAGAGCTCGGGCTCTCACATTTCGTAAGCGCCAGATCCGGATGTTCACGTCTTGGTTTCTTAATGGGAAATTGCAACTCCTGCCATATGTATGTAATATAACAAGCCTGCACACATGTATATTTATGTGTTGACGACACAACTTCATTTGACACCCTCGACCCGTTGCGCAGCTCCAGCTTTTCTGAAGGGAAACTTGCTTCGGCAAAGGCAAAGCCGACGAGCACAGACCCGACGGCCTCTCATTTTTAGTGCTTTGGGAGTCGACATGCCTTTCTGCCTAAAAAATCATACCCTACAAGGAATATATAACTATATATATATATATACACCTAGCGTCTTTGATGGTTTCCTTCCAAACCGAAGCTACACAAGGACCCAGGGGTTTAATGAAGCATGCAGCCACCATGTCGCCACATACATCGGGCCGCTTCCTGAAAGGTGTCCAGGTACCCTCAAAAAGCCCAAAGACCAGTGAACATAGGTGTCCTTTAGGGCAAATCGATGGCATTTTTGTTCCACCAAAACCACCAACAAGGACACCTATGCCGGTGAATGCTTGGTCAACCATTGCATCTCAATGGCCGGAAGCGGTCCAGTGATACACAGTCAAAAAATCCCCGCAGAGTGGCTCACTCAGCCTGCATTCCAAATCCATTGGGGCCCCACCCCGCAGTACAGACAAGACACTACGACGTCTGTTGAGCTTCTGTTCCAGATTGGGTCTATCTAAAGATATACTCACTGGCTGAGTGGATGGCCAAAAAAAAGTAACCAAACTTTATATTTACCACTAAAATGGTCTTCCCAAAAAGTTTAAAGATCATGAACTCAGGAAGTAAGAATGATATAACACACTTTCGGAGACCCCCAACTTGCCATAGTGTCCTCCCGCCAACTTGGAACCTGCCAGAATGTTGCAGGAGGAACCTGGTCTACCTCTTGTCAAGTTCCATGTCTCACTGTACGAGTGCATTGGCCCAAACAAGTCGAAAGTTGGGCGTGTCTGGCTTGGGGTAGGTCTAAAGGGAAGCCCGAAAGACAACAAGCATTTCTTGGGGGGTGCGTTGACACATGCATCCAGTTCTTCACCACCAAAATGGTCCAAACGCCGGTCCATCGGTCTGGACCGCAGGCCATTTGTTGGAAACACATGGGTGGCTCGGCCTTTTTTGGGGTTCCCTTGTTTGGTGGGTAAAAGGAAAACCGAAACGCGGGACCCAGAAAACAGAAACACTCGCAGGGGATTGTCCTAAAATGGTGGAACCCCAAATTGGCAACGGTTCCTGCTGGTGTTCCTTTCAAATCACCAAAGAGATGCCTTGACAAAAAGACACACCCACCTGGCAAGACTCGCAAAGGTCGATCACGGGGCAGGGAGCAACCCCCCCAAAAAGCGCAAAAAGTCCAAAACTCGCGCAGTGATGTCAGTGAGAAGCGTGTTTCTTGGACGGGACTTGTTCTCCTTTAGCAGGTGACTGGGAGCTGGGCCGACTGTCATGGTCGTCCAAGTGCCCATGTCTGCCTGGCAAATGCTGTCACTCCGTACCCGCCTGTACTCATACTTGCCATGGTCAACACCCTATGTTCCCTCTAACCCGGAGGGTCCAAAACTTCACCCATACCAAGGAAATCTCACCTTAAATGAGCAAAGTTAATCACTCGGTTTTGTGTTGGACCAGGGTGAGGTGTTTTGTGTCCACCTAAGAGCAAGGCTCAATATTTACCACCAGCTACTGTAGTAAAGAAAATAATGATATACGAGACCCAAATTGTCAATCATTAAGCAATGGAGATTGCTCACGCAAATCCAATGTCATTGGGGTGCACAGTAAAAGTTTGGGCGTGTCTTTTTTGGGGGGGATGCCCTTTTTGGGGGGGACTGCCCTTTGGTTGGTCTTCAAGCGAAACAAGAGGGAACCGATGCATTTTCGGGGGTTTTCTCTTCTAAGACACGCCCACATTGGCTCAGAAACGTACAGCTTACTCATTTGGCCGTGGGTCAAAATCCCGTACCCTCAGCGAACTTCCGATTCAATCCCCACTAAACTAGGCTCTAAAATGGGTGGTGCACCGAATTACCCCAAAATGGGATCTCAGAGGTTTTGACAGCCACAGCCATTTCTCTCCTTCGGAAAAGCCGCTGCGATCTGCCTGAGCTCTGGAGGTCACCAGCAAGACCAGGCCGTTGGTTTGTCGGATCAGCATCCGCCTAAAAGGACTCGGGGCCGAGGTTGGAGACAACTTGCGATCGGTGCGAGAGATGCAGGGAGTGAGAAATGGAATGACCTTATAAACCATCCAACTGTTTTTTTGTAGGGGTCCGAAGGTTGGGTTCATTCAACCACATTCCCTACCCGGCAAGAATGGGCGGCAGTGTTGAAACGGGGCTTCAAGACACCAACCTTGAAGGCTCGGGAGCGTTTGAGTAGTTGATGAAAGGCACGCCCCCTCCACCAAAAGCGGAAAGAGGCTTTTGCACCACTGGGGGGATGCTCCCAAGGGCTTCGCAACGAAGGCTTGGCTCCAGTCTGTTTCTTCGCTCCTTTTCGAAAACCACGCATTTGCAGGGTTCTGCCCATGTCAAGGGAAGGATCCCTGAGAATGGACATGGAAGCTACGGTTACAGTAGAATAGGGGCTAGGTGACTACAATTCAGTTGGGTACGACCTAATTCAGTCATGTTTGGAAGAGTAATTAAGAGTACGTAATTATCCAAATCAGAGGGGAGATAGCCTGCACTGTGGCTCCATTACTTCTTTCCCCTAATTAGCGGGGGTGTGTCATACCATGCAAGTTCAGTTCCTCGCCCTTGGCAGTTGTTCAGGATCTAACTCAACCATCAAGCAAAGATGCCATAAGTGCCAACTGGCCGCCGTTTTCCGAATATCTTTCGCACTGAGGGCAAGACATCTTGCGACACTTCCTATCCATACGGCAGCAGGAGCGAGCCAAACGCCAGCTTTCCTAAAATGAGCTTGGAATCCGGCTCAAAGCCCGGCCGCAACAGACCAGGACACCGCATGGTAGATGGGAAGCAGGCAGGCCAAGTAGCCCAAAGTCAGGAAGAGTCCGAACTGCCCCAGGAGCCGCTCCTTCTGAAAAGGCCACCTCCAGCTCAACTTGTCCCCCGAAAGATGGCAGAGAGCCAGGGCCAGCAGTACCGGTCCAAAGGCCACTGTGCCAGCCGTCAGCTGTGCTATAGAGAAGCCCAAGAGTTGCCCAGAATGCTGGGTGGCCAGAGCAACTAAAGGCACCATAGAGGCCCAAAAGACAGTGTAAATGCCGTGGTACATATCTTTGGGCATCCCTAAATACGATTCTGGAGCCCAGATCTTGCTGCTTTTGCCTTTACTCTCCTCCTTGAATTCTCCCTTGTACTCCTTTGATTCGCCCAGCTTTTCGCGGAAGGTCCCGCACCACTGGTCAATGAAACCACTCATCGGGGAGCCATAATTGCACTCGAACTTGGCATGATGACAGTAGTGGTACTGATCGGACTGGAAGTGGTCCTCAAAGCCAGAATGGCCGCAAGCAGGCGCAATGGCCAAGTGGAAGAAGCACCAGTAGAACAAGAAGGGGCTGAGCCCCGACAAGTAGAGCGCGGGGAAGAAGGCGTTGGAGTAGTAGTACAAATGCTCAATGGGATGCATGGTGAGCCCCGAGAATGGCTCGGGGTCTGAGTTTCCTCGGTTGCGAAATCTGCTCCCCTGCTAAAAGTGAATAACTTTTAGTGGTTTAATCCGAAAACCCCTGCGAAAAGTGAATAACTCTTAGTGGTTTAATCCGAAAACCCATGAATTGGCAAAAAGTTAAAGTCCTAACATCCAAGCAAAATGCCCCAAAGTGTCGGTGGTGAAGGCTGTGCACGTACTTATAGACGGCCCGGATATGGATGAAGCGGTGAGCGATGTAGAAGTGCAGGTCCCGCCAGACCGGCATGGCTAGCACCCAGAATACATTTAAGCAAAGGAGGACAGGCTTGGAGATAATGTCTGCCTTGCAACCAAAGGGCCCAGAAACAAAAGGCTAGGTCCTCCAGTAGAGAGGTTAGAATAAGGCTACCAACTTCTTTGTCTGTCGTCTATTTTAGTAGGGGAACCCTCCGCCAAAAAAGAAACGGTAAAAGTTGGCGCCAATCGCTGGGGGACCTAGGTGACCGCTTTTTGGAACCAAAGTGTGTCTTTGATTGAGGGCTCCGTTTCTTTGCCGGTCTTAGGGAAAACAACCGGAACGCCAGCATTTCGCAGGGTCACCTAAAAAATGACTCACCCAAATCGAAGCCAGCCAGGAAAACAGTCTCCAGAAAACACAAAGGCCGGGTCTGACTTTGGAGAGCCGCGGCAGTGACGTAAGGCACTTTCCCGGTGGCCCACAAGCCTCAGCCCGAGCGATTTCCGATCCCCCGATAAGAGTGACCAACTTTTCGTGGGTCAATTGGAAACCACCACTCACTACAAAAATTAAAAGGCATAGGGACCGGATGGCTGGCTTCGCCGCCAAGAAACGCATCATCAGAGCCTCCAGCAGAGTCCATTGCAAGATGCCTAAGGACCAGTAGTAGAGGTTGTGGGCCATGTTGCCGCTGGTGGGGAACCTGTCGGGCGCAAACTTTCTGCTGGACCAGTGACTCACCTCAGTTGCAAGGGCCCGAAGGTGACCACCCTTTCGGGTCCAAAAGGCCAAACAGGTGTGTATATATACATGTATTAAAAAAAAAAAAAACTAACTAATCAACAAAACAATAAACACAAACTCTGGGAAAACCGACAGGTTTCATTTAAGGTGAGTGACATAAAGGCCAAAGTAGAAGAAGCCGTAGTAGGCCAGAGCGACCGCAAAGTTTAGGCAGAGTCTAGGCAGGACCCAACTCCACGACCAACTCGTGGCGGCCGAAATGTCGTAGGGGGCCGCAACATACACTGCCATGGCCAGGATGCCTCACTTAATGTCCACCTACGATTAATAAATGTTCCCAAAATAAAGTTTGTTGGGGGCCCCGGACTGATTGATCAATGGGTCCCAAATAAAGTTCTTGGGATTGGGTCCCAAATACTTTGTTGGGTCCTGATTTGCTGCGTTGTCAAATGTGCAAAATTCCAAGGCGACCAAGAAATCCGAGGCTAACCACTCGAAGGGCGACGAAGCATAGCGGAATGCCGTTCCGATCCGTTCCCGACGAAAACACGGCGTCATAGTTGCTAGGTCCTCCAGTAGAGAGGTTGAAAAAATAGGGGTACCAACTTTTTTCTGTAGTCTATTTTTTAGGGGAACCGCCAACCAAAAAAGAAACGGGTGAGAAAGTTGGCACCAATCGCCGGGGGACCCAGAGCTGAAATTGCCAGAGCTGGGAACCCAGAACGCCAGAGACCTATAGCCCCCAAGATCCGAACCCGGCGCTTTTTATCCGGCCCGAAACTGTCCAGATCTCAGCTTGAAACATCACCCCCAAGGGATACCCTTTCATAAGCCAAAGAGGTAACGTTGAAAACCACCACAAAGGGAAGCACAGGGACCCTGACTAAACATAGCAATAACAAAAACCAGATCAGATCAAATTACTATGCAACTGGTTTTTCTCTAGTCTATTTTACTAGGGGAACCCTCCCAACCAAAACAAAACAACGGTGAGAAAGGGCACCTAGCTGGGGGACCAGATCAGATTAGGTCAAAATCAGTTTGATCTCCGAGCTGCACCAGACCAGGTTGGGGGAATAGAAGAAGTACTTGAAGGTCACAATCTGCCTCAGGGTGTTTTCAAGCCCCAGCTGCTGCACCTGGCTGGTGCAGCCTGCTGGCTTGCTTCGGTCCACCCAGGTCTCAACGCCACCGAAGACCTGGCCACCTGATAGCCAATCCGCTGGGACTTCGCAAGAAAAAAAAAAAAACAACAACATGAAAACTAAACGCGGAAGCTTTTTTTTGGACTATGTTCAACATAAGCCCAGGGCTTCTGTTTTTATTTTTTATTTTTGTATGATAAGTTCAAATTAAGCCATTTGCTTCTGTATTTTTAAGTATGACAAGTTGAAAATAAGCCCCAGGTGGCATCCCCAACGGTTCAGGAACGCCTGGAGCCGAATCTCCTTTGAACCCTCCCGGAAAGCTGTGGGAATAAAAAAACATCTCCCAGCCTGGGAGTCCGCCCAAGCGGGTCCAGTCAACCATGGCGCCTGACTTTGAAGGCTGTTCGTGCAGGCCAACCCTTCCGCCAAACTGCGCCAAACTGCGCCCAAAAGCTGCGGCGGCCTTGCAGTACAAACAGCCGCTGGAGCTCCCCGAAAGTTGATCAAGTTGCGAGTGGGTTTCCGGAAGTGCAACCTTTGGAGATTCCAACAGGGAAATGCTCGGAAACATTCCAGCGCCGCAAATAAGCCCCCCCCCCCAGACCCCCAGAGGATTCAAGCCTCTTCATGGGGAAGCTCAGCTGAGCTCATGGCAACTTCTCCACTTGTCGAACGAACAGTCAGTGACCCTGGAGAAAAAAAAGGTCCCCTTTTTGGGGAAGACCATTTTTAGTGGGGCAACCACCAAAAAAAGGAAACATGGTGCCACTGAACAACTGAAAATATGACACTCAGATCTTCCAACGTTCCAAATTGGGTCCCAAAGTCGCTTTGCACTTCTGGGGAGGTTCTCGTCAGGTTACTGATCTCTGGGGTTCACCAGGAGTATTGATGGCACAGGTGAGCAACTTGTAGCCGCTTGGTTTTTTTCCAGACAAGACCTGGTGTTCCTGGGCCCATGTCAACAGAAGAATTCGAGACTGTGGGCTGCTGCCCAGGGATCCAGAGAGATGTGCAACTGAGTCACTTGCTCAAAACCCGGCACTAAAAAGGTCGACCCAGAACCATGCTTCAGGAACTAAGAAGGCGGATATCCGCAGCCTTTTTTATGGTTGGGATTGTCCCTTACCAACCTTCATCTATCCGGGTTTTGATTGTGGCTCAACTTGATTTGTTCTATGCAGCTTCCCTCTTGGAGCCGAATCGATGGTTTGGTGGTGTGGATTGGGAAGGCCTCTCGTTTACCGTCCACAAGAACCAGGGGTGACCAAGCCGAATCCACCAATCCAAACCGTCAATGTAGGGTGGCCTGATTCTATCTTATCTTGCTGTATCATGGCCACCCTCCAAGCCATGTGCAGAAGGAAATGTACAACATCCGGTGGATTCGTCTCTATCAGTGGTGCCCTTTGTCCAAGCATCATGAAGTAGGGGCCCAACCAAAAAAATGACAGTCTTCCAAACACTCTGGACATCCACTCTCAATGCTGGACAAGGGGAATCCATTGAAAATGGTTGGTGTCCTTGAAGGGCGTCCCTTCACCATCCAAAACGTGTGCGCTCCAACATATCATCTCCATACACATATACATATATACCTATAACAATTGGAGGAGACCCATGCATAGAAACCTGGTACCGTAGAAAATGAAACTTGAGTCATAATCAAACCCGGCATCAACATGATCTACCTAGAACCATGCAAAGAATTCAAAAGGCGGCTGCACCTATTTATTGTTGGGACTATATATATATATATATATATCCCTTGCCAACCTTCATCTACCCGGGTTTTGAGCAAGCGACTCACTTGTTGCTTGCAGCCAACTAAAAATCTCTATGAACATAACAACTTACCCACATCTCTCCTAATGGGTCACATGCTGCAATACAGGTATGTCTTTTGTCGAAGGCTCCCAGTATTACTGAAATCCATTTTGGGGGGGACCACTTCCAATAAATGACAGATCCATATCCAGGACCCAATGGCTGGCAAATAACCCCATTTGCCAGCCATTGGGAAGTCATTCCACAAACCATTTGCCAGCCATTCGGAAGGTCCTGGATACCTACATGGGAAACTGAGGTTGGCTCCAAACCAACGGTTTCGATCAAAGCAAACATTTTCGAAGCGCCCCAGAGGCATGGCCTGGAATCCCATTCAGGGGGGTGGTTCAAGGGGGGGGTTGGGTCTCCCTTTGGCTGAAGTAAGGATCCTTGCAAAACCCCCTAAAAAACCCGAAACGAGCTTTCAACTACCCCTTATAACTACCCCCCAAGGGATTATGCTGAATTGCTTTTTGAGGAATCTAACGTTTCCTCCAATTCCTTGTACTCACTTCGGAACGAGTGGATTCGCCAAAGAAATGTCTAAACAGTTTATCTTGGTTTCGTTGGCAGGGAAGCAAACACAAAAAAAGTAGTTCAGTGGGGATTTCCCACTAAACCACAATAAGCAAAAATGCAAAATGTTTCCCAACAACAACCATGTTATTGCACTGAAATGGTCTTCCCAAATAACTGTCAAGTCCAACAAATCACAATGTGAGTATATCAGTCCACTGACAAAGGCAACAGCAACGAACAGGGTGCAAAGAAGCAACATTTTCTGAAGCGACTGTGTGGTCTTCGATTGGACCCCGCAAAAACTGAACCAGGTCTGGACGCACACCGAACTGTCCCTTCACAACTCCAAGTTAGGCATTTGTGGCTTCAACAAAATTTTCAAGACGCCAATATCCCATAAATGTCCAGCATCTTGAGGTACTGGGTCTTCGACAAAAAAGAAAACCCAAGGGGCCCGACACGTGGGGCTTGAACGAGCCCAACGCACGGGGGTCGTTGGCCGTGCTGTGCGTCCGGCATCTCATCCAGTCCCAGGAAGGAGTCGGCGCAGACCTGGCCCTGGTACCTGGAGAGATCGATCGGGCCCGTGAAGTGGGAACTTAGGTATGTCTCGGTGGCGAAATCTGCGTCTCGCCCTGCTAAAAGTGAATCACTGTTTGATGGAAAACCCCATTAGTTGGCAACAGCTAAAGTCCTATCATCACAGCAAAATGCACCAAAGTATACGTTTCCTTACCGATTTCTCTCTTTCAAACATCACCCCTCCCCCCCAAGAGAAAAAGCTAAACAGACAAGACGTTGTAGGGTTATCGATTTATCTCTTCAAACATCACCCCTAAAAGGTTTTGGGGGAAGCAAACACTTTACCTTGGCCCAAAATGTGATGTCGAAAGCCACCGTAGGATATGCAAGGGTAAGGCATGAAGGGCTAAAACAGGTACTACTGTGGATGGTTACGCAAACCAAACCAGTTGCACCACTAAGGTTCTCCAGTAGAGAGGTTAGAATAAGGGCACCAACTTTGTTTCTTCTCTGTAGTCTATTCTAGTAAGGGAACCCTCCCCACCAAAAAAGAAAGGGTAAAAGTTGGCACCTGGAGGACCTAGCTGGCACTGATGGTTCCCTCACCCTCGACGCGTTTCGGAGAGGTCACAGTCTGAGCAGCTCATGGGAGACCAGCGCGCGGAAGGCGCGCTCCACGGGCACCTCAAATTCCCAACTCCGCCATCGCGAGCGCCCAGCAAAAAAGGCTTTTAGGAGACATATGGAGTCTGACCAGAAAAACCGTCCAACGGGTCTGGTGGTTTTGCCTTTCCACAAAAAAAGAAAGAACAAACAATAACATCCAACGGGTCTGGTGGTTTTTCCTTTCGGCGTCGGCGCCTGGGTCCGCGCACCCTTTGGGGGAATTCATAAAACCACATGGCTATGTACTCAAAGTGAAACAGCTGGGGCTTTTGAAACACAGCCATATTAATGCTTTGGGGATACTTTAAAACCAAAGCTGCTGGGGCCTCTACGGGCTTCTGGAGACACTGTAAAGCCACATCGAGCCATGGAAATATAAGTAGTCGATTGGTGCCTAAGACTCGTATGTTACCCTTCTCTGGGTTGCTCTTGTAAAATTTATATGTGCAATTGGGGCAAATTCCGCAGGCCGATCAGCACCAGTTCGGAGGGTTGGAAACCCGAGTTTAATGTTGGGATGCACCGCTGCACCACCAACTGGGTTGCTCCCCCCCCGGGCAAAAAAATCCCGACAGGGCGATTTGCTCGCGAGGAGCAGCCATGCAACCCCCTTTCCAACACTCATGGAACCGGATTCCGTTTTTGGGCCGCAGTCGTCCGACACCCTCTTGTCCGACCCTGCAACCAAGGACCTGTTGGACATTTTGGCTAGATGTTTGGATCCGGTCAGCTTCCATTTCTTGGCGTAGCCCCGAGAAGTTGAAATAGATTAGCCTAGGGGTACCTTCCATTTCCATTCTTTCCAGGCATCCTTCTTTCTAACCACACAAAACCCCGAGAAAAAACGGATCCGGTTGTTGGACAAGAACGATGCTTGAAAAGAATCGTTTAGAATGAGAGCCCTGCCTCGAACCGGAACAAAGCAGTTGCCCTATGTGCCTTCCCAAACCTTGGCGTGGACGGGGAAAAACAAACATTTCTTGTTTGCATCCGCCCACTGAAGGAAACCAGACGAAACAACTGAAGCACAAGAACAGTCCGTGCTCCCTATTTCGTGCATCCCAAGACGTACGACAATCAAAATGATACCCCTACTATACCCAAACAAGGTTGGTACAGCCAGGTTAAGGTGAACAAGAGGGTTGGCTTTTTAGAGAACATGTTCAGTTCTGCTTGGGAATGACATGTGCAGTCAATACCTGTTGCGACAGCTGCGGGGTGGATAAAACTAAGCAGAAATCAATGCTTCTACCTTTGCGATTTGCTCTTTTCAGATTCGAAGCAATCCTGACTTATCACAAGCCTTTTATTTGGAGAACCCTTCTCCAAGAATTGGTTGGAAAACAAGGGGGCTCCTAGACCCTGCTGACAATTGCCATTCCACTTTCGTCATTCCACGACTCACTGGCCCCAAGGGCCTGGAAAGAGAAGGCTAAGTCTTTGGAACCTTGAGTCTGGGCTGCCCTCGGATCCCCCACTAAACACTAAAAGGCCAAAAAGCTAAGGAACCGGATGGCTGGGAACCACCAAGGAGTAAATATATCAGCCTGAATCGCAATTCCCGCTTTTGGCGGAACGCGCTTCGGGTTTGTCTCCAAATTGGTGTAAAGACCGTGTTATTCTGTTAACCGGTCTCCATATCCCACATCTTCTTTTGTGCTTCGACCATCAAACCACGCAAACCCTCTCCATTTGGAGGAAAGAAGGCACCTAAACCCTCAACCTGCCACAACACATGGGTTACTGCCCCAAACACATGGGGCGGCATTGCTTTGTGTGCAGCTTGTGTATCCAGCTCGTCATGGAGGCCCCCAGTTGTCCCTCGAGTTGGCTGCCTCCAGGCCTCCAGTGTCTGGTTGAGACTTAAAACCGTGGCTTGCACCGTGGTACCTTGGTTGCAAGGTACCGGGGTCTTCGGCCA